AGCACGATATACATGTCTATATATAATTATATATACTATACTAATCACATCCGTTAATAAGTTTATTAAATTTCCATACCTATTAAATAATTATTAAAATAATATTCATACCTAGACCAATCTACCATTTCATTTAAAAAAAAAAACTCCTTTGACCTTAATCCCATCCTAGTCAGTTGTTTAATCATTTATATAATAAATTATAATAAAAGGCATATTATAATTAATCCCAAAACCCGATGATGATTTTAACTAAATCACATATCCAAAATCTCAGCATTGACAAATCATCCATGTCTCCACAAATATTATCTTATTAATATAAAATAATACACTAACCAGTAAGTACTAGATTATTCTAATTTAAGAATATATAATCATAATCCAGTCTATACATACAATAACCATAGATGATATTTTAATCATCTAACACATAACAATTTAATTACGCTTTGGCAAATTAACCATGCCATTATAAATATTTTCATTGATATATTGGCAACTCAACCATGCCTCCTTAAATATATTTATTTATACATTGGCAAATTAACCATGCCTCCACAAGTATATTTATTAACATATTTGGCAAATCAACTATGCCATTATAAATATATTTATTTATACATTGGCAACTCAACCATGCCTCATTTAAGTATATATATTTATACTTCTAAATTAACAATTCAACCATGCTTTCTGTGTATGTATTTTATTCATACAAATACTTAGGCAAAATACTTACGCCTATGGCAACTCATCCATGCCTACAATTCAACTGTGTATCAACTTTAAATTTAAAAATAAATTAATTCACACATAACCATTTAATGCACATTATGTGCATAAGATTAATTTAATAACCAGCCTAATATAATATATCAAACAAGAATAATAATTTAATTATCTTAAATGATATATACATATACCCATATATTATAATATATATATATATATATATATGTATAATACCTTCAATAATAATCCTTGATTATTTAAAATCATATATACATATACATTAATGAATATATATATATATATATATATATATATATATATATATATACATATAATTCCTTCCATCTTACACATAAATTAATTAAATCATATATACACATATATAATTAAGTATATATATAACTCCTTCCATCACCAAATTATTAATTAATGACATTTACGTAAATTAAACGTCACTAAATATGGTCACAAATGTTTTCCCATAAATACTCCATATCAGTTTAAATAGTTTTTCGACACCGTCTCACTAAAACGTAACTATCTTATAGTGGGATGGGAAACTGATAATGAAATTAGTACCATTGGAAAGAGGACGAAAAATCCTTGAATTTGAGCTCAAGAATAACCCAATTTCGATTTAAGATGACTAAGTTATGACCGTTTTAATTTTATGACCCAAACAGGCAACATAATTGGATGAACCCAAACACTACTGTGAGCGCACCCACACCGGATTAGCTCACTTGAGCTCACACAAATGCACCCACACCAGATTAGCTCACTTGAGCTCACATGTATGCACCCGCACCAGATTATCTCCCTTTCATCAATCAAATCAAACCGCTGGATTTCGCATGTGCATTAACATATCATGTACCGCAATGCACTGAATCAATCCATTAATATTTAAGTAATCTAATGGTCTAGATCAGTGTGCGCACCATTATTCCATGTACCGCGCCACACTGAATTGCTTCCCTATTTCCACTATGTATAAACAATATACACATATATATTTCCAATAAATATATAAAAATAAATTCTAATAAATTACCAAAAATACTAGAAAAATATCAGAAAATTCCAGAAAATTTAACAAAAATTCCAGAAATTTTAGAAACACTAATTAACCCCTCTTGGGTCCAAATCCAGCCTATCTGTTGATGTAAACAAAATATACAACACATATATACAACAATAGAAATCTAAAATTCCAAAAAAAAAAATATATAATAATTCATATTTTAAATATTCCGTTCTAACCAGCATTTAATCAATAAATTTAACCTTAGATTTTGATACTCAAGGTGAAATCCTTATGAGTTCTAAGAGGAAAGTTAGAGAAGAACTCGCATGAAGGTTTCAAAACGAAACCGAAGCTTCAAGCCTTGATTGCCTCTTCCAAATCCGATGTCCTCTTTCTCTAAGCCGGCCTTCTCTTTGTCGGCCTTCTCATTTTCTCTCTCTCTGTCTTATTTTTTTAACGGGTAAACTTTTAACCCTAAAGTCTTATGCGTATATTTATACACATTAGAATCCAAATCCTATTCCTACTAGGACTTTCAAATAAAATAATAATTCTTAAATAATATATATCTATAAACACATATTATATTACAAATATATATATATACCTTCCATAATTAATCCATGGGTTAATTAAATCATATAGACCTATATATATCCATAAATATATATCTCTATATATATATTTTCATAACAATTATTAATTAATTATATTTATATAAAATTATATATATTTATAATTAATACAAAAATGATCATTTTAATAATTAAATAATCATGGGCCTTTATTAAAACCCAATAAGGCGTCATACAAGCCCAATACCACATCTTTTGGTCCAACTTCCCTTAATCCCAAATCCAATTAATTTAAATAAATCAAATAATTAAATAGACACTTAAATAATATAAACTAAAAACTAATTACACTAAGCACATAAACAAAATAATAAATTACAACCAACTTATACCATACCAATAAAATTAACACGCCAATTATTCAATCAATAATTAAACACATAGACAACAATCATCATATCAATAATTCACGAAATATAAATAAAATAAAACAATTAATCTAAGCACTCAATAAAACAAATCAATTAAAAATTAAAATAAACGCAATTAATTCAAATTAAATCAAATACATCATTTAAAAATAAAATAAAAGTAATTAATTCCAATTAATAAATCATTTAAAATATCGGGGTATTACAGTTGTGGTGAAAAGAATCTGAATTCGTTCTCCTTCACTCTTTTATTAATATATATATATATATATATCTAATTTACTCAATAGGTTATTTTTTACTTCATTGTTTATTTGTTTCCTTACTTTTCCCACTTGTGTAACTGACAATGATGAAATGTGGGAGCATTACTTTGTGGGAAATCATGGGAAGGTCTTGTTCAGTTATTTATAATGAACACTCATAACTCTCAATGCAAACTTATATTTCATACAATGAAAAATATATTCTAACATATTAAATTGGAAGTGTAAAAGCTCCATTTCTTATTATACAGAATATCCCAAATATATTGTAGTATTTATCACGATTAAAACACTGCATTACAGGAATACAATGGAAATTTTATTCTAACATCTTAAATTGGAAGTTTAAAACATAACATATAATATAGAATATAACAACTTTTTCACAATTTATTAATATAATTTTCACAATTTCTGATTCAATTTTTCACAATTTAATAACACTTCAAGAATAACCAAACAAAACTAATGAAACACAATGTCATACGATTCACAAATTCACTTACAAAACCAGTACACTGTAGTTTCGTCTTCCTCAGCCTCAAATCAACCACACGACACTGCACCTTTCTCTTCCCCGCCGTTCAATCAAACCTTTCCAAACAAATTGTAATTTTGGAAAGAAGAAAATTAACGAAAGCTGGGACAATGTAAGAAAGATCAATTTTTTTCTTTCTATATTTTGGGAGAGAAGAATAAAGAAAATTCAGAATAGGCGCTATACCTTCGTCACTGTAGCTTCCTCTTCTCCGACGTTCAATCAAACATTTGGAAATAAATTGTAAATTTGCAAAGAAGGAAGACAAATCGGGAGAGAAAAACAAGAAAGAAAATTACATATTCCGAAGAGGCGATTCGTCACTGTTGGACAGAAATTGTAAATTTGGAAACAAGGAACAAAAATTGGGCGAGCAGAATAAGAAAGAATATTAGAAGAAGTGGCACGGATAAATTTGAAGTCCTCGAATCGCCCCTCAATCGCTCCTCAATCGCATTTTCTAAGTCCTCCTTCCGACCTAGAAAATGAAGGATAATTTGGGATATTCTTGAATGTCAAGGATATTTCAGTAAATTCCCCCAAATTTTAAATATATGCAAGTATAAATACACAGTATAATTTATACATACACTAACATAAACAGTAACATATACACTACATACACTACAGTAATGACTGAGGTAACTTTTTGTGGGCCAAATTTTTTTAATTGACGTGGCCCAATCTAGGCCACACATCCGAACCGGCGGGAACTGGAACAGGAACAGGAGAGGATTTGGAACCATGGATGGGGATGGTATTGGCACCGCCATGGTGGTGCTGAGTCGCAGGTGGTGATGTAAGAGGTGGTTCCTGGAGAGTAACAATATTACCTCTATATATATATATATATATATATATATATATATGTATGTGTGTGTATATATATATATAATTGCAAATTTGTAAAATATTTAAGGATAGTTTAGTCTTTTAATATATTTTTTAGATTAAATATATACTTTTTTTGATAAAATTAGAGGGCATTTAAGTCATTTTATATAGTATTAGAGATTTAGATAATTGGAGTGTGAGTTAAAAACAGAACAAACATTTATAACACGAGTTGATAATAATTTTTTAAAAGTTATTTTATTGTGATATTCGGCCAACTTTAAAAGAGTGAAATGAACCTATTATTATTTTTGCCTTGTCTCCTTGACAAAGGAAAATGACTAATTTTGTCTGTTCCGTCTCTTTCCATTCATTGATTTCCTCTGAATTTGTTGTATTTCATTTCCTCCGTTTGAAAGTCTGTGTTTTTATGTTAATGCTTTCCTTCCTTCATTCAAAAGTCAGTTGGTCGGTCACATGGTGATTGGTTTTGGTATATTGGTAGGCATGGGGAAGCGACGTGTTCGGTGGGTGCCTAACCATTAAACACGGGCTACCTACCACCACTGCTCCTTTTTCTCTCTGTGGGTAATTAATTTTCCTTTTGTTTTCTGTCACACACATTACAAAAGAAAAACTTACACTAATTTTTTTCTTCTTCTTCTTTGGTCTCGCTCGCTCACACAGATGTCAGTAATTCCAATCCCAAATTTTGTTTTCTATTGTCAATTTTTGTCATATCCATGATTTGGCTTTCCATTAAGTTTCGCCTATTGGGTTGAATATTACAACTATCAAGATTTACAATTCAATTTTAGCAACTTGGAACAAGTGCTTCACTTATGATTTAGCATGATACTATAATTTTCAATTTAAGTATGAGATACATTGTATAACATGCATATCCCATATTGTTGGATTTTCTATCCATTCTCAGTATTTTACTTTCCTTTTCTTTTGCAGTTTGTTGGCCCAGATTGACTGATAGTTGAAATGGCACAAGAATTTAAAAACCCAGATGAAGAGGTAATCCGTAATAAATTAATTAATTCATACCTTTCAAATGCAGAAAAACTGGTTCCTCCCTGCAACTTTTATTAATTTGCAGTTGGATCTTCTTCAATTAATTTGCTCTTGTTCTGATTATTTTTTAGGTTGTTCTTGGGGACGAAATCGACCATGTGAGATTGATCACCTTGAACCGGCCTCGTCAACTGAATGTCATTTCATCAAAAGTGGTATGCTGAAAAAATCTAGCCTTAGCCTGCATCAAGTATTTATGATCAGTTTGAGTTCTTGAAAGAAATAAATTACATGTTGGTGATTTAAAATTTTTGTTTCCTCTCCTGGCAATTAGGTCACTTTGTTAGCAGAATACCTAGAAAAATGGGAGAAAGACGACAATGCAAAGATGGTGATAATCAAGGCGAGTACTAATTAATAATTCCAATATTTTTTTTTCAACAATTACAGTTATTTAGTATTTGATTTAGCAAATGCCTCATGGAATAGCATCGATACAAGTAAGGTTGGTTATGTATTGTGTCTCAAATTCTAGTCTAATTAGGTTTCTATTTTAGTTTTCTTTAGGTAATTTCTTGTTAGAAAAGTTTTGGCTCCAAGGAATTCCAACTCTTGTCCAACGAGTAATTGGGTTTGGAACTATATAAGTAGATGTGGAGTTGGGTGGAGAAGGCAGAGAAGAAAAGATAATGAATGAGTGAGTGAGAAGAGAAAGAGTGGGTGGGTGCAAAGGGGCACCAAGGGCAGAGAGATGCAGCTTCATAGAAATTGGCCATGAGTGTGTAACAAGGGTAGAGAGATGCAGTTTCATAGAAATTGGTGAGTGTGTGGGTAGAGATGATGAGTGAGCAGATAGAACACCGATGATGAGGAGTGGTAGACCGTGAAAGGCTCGAGTATCCAACACCATAACTTGAGCAGAGAGTGTGCGTACACAGTTAGATGTTCACAATCTCACGAGGCAGTAAGGTAGTTGGCATTTTCTACAGTTGTATATTCTCTTCTTGATTCATCATAGTGAATTTTCTTTTGCTCCGTGGACATAGGTGGAGTTTAACCTAACCACGTAAAATATTTTGTTATTATGTGTGCTTGTTTGTGTCTTACTTCCGCTGTGCTGAATGAAGGGGTTTAATTCTCAACAAGTAATTACCTTAAAGGATTGTGAAAATAATAAGGTTGGTGGATGCATGTCTTCGGAATGCAAACTTAGTGTGTTGCTGATGTAATTTTATAGGGAGGTGGCCGTGCTTTTTCTGCTGGTGGGGATTTGAAAATGTTCTATGATGGCAGGAAATCAAGTAAGTACACCATCTGAAAGTAATTCTGTGGCTGCAACTTTGCTTTTTGTGATTTGCCAAAGTCACTTTTGGGTTGTTTCTTCTTTGACAGAGGATTCCTGTCTTGAAGTGGTTTATAGAATGTATTGGCTTTGCTATCATATTCATACCTATATGAAACCTCAGGTCCTATTTTGATTTGATCTCTTATCTAGAATCCTTGTAAAGGACATCAATGTTTCAGATAATTTTACCAAGTTCATGTTGTATTTATCAGGTCGCTCTTGTTCATGGAATTTCCATGGGTGGAGGTGCTTCTTTAATGGTCCCAACGAAATTTTCAGTTGTCACGGAAAAGACTGTGAGTATCTGATATTACTGGAGATTCTTGAGCCATTTTTTTTTTCTGCAGAATTAATGAGGTAAAGGAAAAGATATTATAGAGGAAATGATTTTCCTTGTTTGGTTACAACGGAAAACAGGATGGAAAAATATGAGTGGCCTTTTTCTTCTCCAGACCATCTTTAATAAATTTGTAATCTCTACAATTTAAGCATGGAAGACGGCATTAAGGAAATCATACTTCCTTTCTCTCAGTAAATCTGCAAATCAAATAAAGCCTGATTTTTATCTCTTGGTCCAAAATTCTCAATTTCCTATCCTGTGCTCTAACACCTTCTTTTTTTTTCTTTTCTTTTTTTTTGTTTTTTTTTTTTTGTGGTGCATTTCATGAATGCTGTAACATAGGTTTTTGCCACTCCAGAAGCAAGTATTGGGTTTCACACGGACTGTGGTTTCTCATACATGCTTTCCCATCTCCCTGGGTATCTGGGTAAGCAATCAACTAGAGCAGAGAACTTGACGAAATATCAAATGGAAAATTTTCTCTTCATATAATAAAGCTGACGTGCTTTCCTTCTTGCCCCTTCCTAAATGAGTGAAATCCTGCTGATTTTATCATGAAGAATACATAATACTTGGACAACAAAGAAAGAAGAACAAAATATAGAAAGAAGAGGTGTTTCCTTGTTTCTTTACGTGCAACTAATATCATATGGGTATGCAGGGGAATATTTGGCCTTAACAGGGGCAAGGCTGAATGGTAAGGAATTGGTTGTAGCCGGGCTGGCAACCCATTTTGTCCCATCTGAGGTGAGTCTGAATTCATATCCATTTATGGTGACTTTTACTCTCTGGAACTATGGTCATGATCTATGGCTTGCATTTTCAGGAAAACTATTATGAGTATTTATCCGACAAGACAAAGTCTAGGTTGATGATGATGATGGTGATAAAGGTCTAGGAATACTGCCAATGCTGTTTCTAATAAAGATTTCCCAAAACTAATCTTCAACAACAAAAATTGAGCAAATCCTTATGTTTGATCCACATCTTTTGGAATTTGGCAGCTCTAGGAAAGCTCACTGTGATTTTTCATAGATTAGGAAAATGATTGTTGTAGGAAAACAATCAGCTGAAGTTAGAGATCAAGTGACTTGGTTGCAATTTGATGCATTAGTGAAGGACCCAAGTCTCTCACTAATACATCAAAAGGCTAGGTCTCTAACTTCGGTTGATTGTTTTGGTGTGAATAGCATGGTTCGAATTGAAAAAGCAATGGAGCATGGTCATAATTTCCTTGGTTCTTGTGATCCACTTTTGGGGAGGACAAAAACAAATCATATGCATTTTATGAATATTGGATCCCAAATCAGCAGAATTACCAAGGAGGGAAAAAGAAAAGAAAAGAAAAGAGAAAACAATAATTTAAAATCTAACCTGATATAACTTGAGTAAATAAAGAAACATTGTAAAAAGAATAAAAGTAAAAAATAAAAATGCCTAACAAAATGACACAATTATCCTTCATAGTCTGACCAAATATTGTATAGTAATCTTTGACAAATCTCTCACGACTAAGTAAACTAACCTAGTTGAGTATAATTGTATATTACTGTATTAGTAGATCCATATTTTATGACTTATAATCAATAAGGCCTAAAGTCTGGAAACTAAATGCTACTAACCAGGATCGTTGCTGAGTAATCAGTTAGTGGGTGCTCATTTGCCTCTATAAAAAAAATGACATAAGATCATCTCACAAATCCTAAGAATTATCTTCCACATGCTGGGGAAAAAAATAACATCATATCATATGGAATAAAATGATATTGTTTTAGCTGTTTATCATACTCATTAGATTGAATTTTTAGTGGAACCTTAAAACACGCAGTCACCAAATGCAGTCATACATCCCATCTCCTCTTTATTTTTATGATTCTATGACAGTGATTACTCATGCTTTTTACTACAGTCAAACTTTGTCTTGGCTTTTCAACTGAGGAACTACTGATGCCAATTGCAACACCTAATCCGTGTTCTGTTGACCAAATAATATCTTTGTTCTGTTGAGTTATGATTTTTTCCCCCTTCTACGAATACACAATTGCATTAATGACATGTATGCAATCTTCTGTACATCAGATGTTGCCCGAGCTAGAGAAGCGTTTGATAAGCTTAAACTCTGGTGACAAGAATGCAATGAGATCTGCAATTGAAGAATTCTCTATAAATGTTCAGATTGAGGAAGAAAGTGTATTAAGCAAGTAATAAGTTTAAAACGTGAAGCATATGTGCTACTTCTCCAAAGCTCATTAAAATACCAACATACTTTGGTGCAAATGCAGGCAGTCGATAATCAATGAGTGCTTTTCCAAGGATTCAGTGGAGGAGATTATAAAATCAATAGTAAGTTATATGTTTCTTCAATGAATAATATTCTCAGCTTTCACAGAAGATGTTTGTTACAGAATTGCATACATAGATCTTAACTGAGCCCCATAATATGCATCAATTGATAAGTACTCTGCCTTTCAGGAAGCTGAGGCAAGTAAAGAAGGAAATGCTTGGATTGGAGCAGTGCTCAAAGGCTTAAAAAGATCATCACCTACAGGATTGAAGATCACACTAAGATCGGTAATCTTTTCTTTTTCTTACCACATTTGACTCAGAAGCTACACTATGTTTTATGTCCACTGTGAGTATTTTTATGATGAACTTAAAATATCAAACGAATAATATGGGATGGAGAAATGCTATATGAAAGGTAGTTCCAAAAGGCCGAATAATATGTGTGATGTTGCGGCCGAATTTGGTGCCGGGCCACGTTATGACCCGTTCTCGACCCGACAGCCCGTTTAGTACTCGGAAAATATAAGGGCGCTTAGAGTTTGGAGTGGAAGGAGAGACACTGAAAATCGCATAAAAGAGAGTGAGAGCGAGAGCTAGGGTTTGGGGGCTGAAACTTGTTATCTCCAAATTTTCGCATAGTGAATTCTTTTGCCGGATCTTCACCGTGGATGTAGGCTTTGCCAAACCATGCTAAATCTTTGTATGTGGCGTGTTACCTTTTCTGTCGTGGTTCTTGATTTGTTCTTGGGTTTGCTGCGTTTGTCGTAGATAGGAACTTCAATCATAAAACCACAATTACAACTGATCCACAAAACAAGCAGAAACATTGCAAGTCAAGGACATTCCACATAAACATAGCTAAACAACGTGATTCACGTTACAGTGAGCAAGGTCATTTCCTGGAGATCATGGAAATATTGGGAGATAAAATGGTTGGATCTTGAGTTTCTGTATTGACGAAATCATGGCGCCACTTCACAAAACATCACCCAAGCCACACAGTTTGGTGAAACAGCTGCAAACAATCGGTAGTAAGAATGAGGCGAATAACGTCTGTGCTGCTACCCATTTCATTGTGTTTAAAGACACGTTTCTCTCCCTGGAAAGCACTGGGAGGCCATTAATGATTTTGCAACAGCATCAATTTTTCCCCAGCAATCCTTTTTTATTTTTTTTGTCAGCTAAATCAAACCCTGCTCTCTCTATTATTTCTTTCTAAGCTCCACCTAAGAAAATGTTGGTTACTAATATAGCATTAATGACTGGAGCCTGATCGTAGTACCAAAGTTCCACACTAATTATTTGTGTTCCCAAGGTTTGTGCCATGAAAGCAGCATCGGCTTCCAAATTGGTTATAGACGTTCTTAAAAACCTGCATGCTGTTAGTTCCAGTTATGTTTTAAGTTATTCTTAGTAAACAACAAAAGAAAATTCATATTGAGACTGACATTTGGATAGAGGGAGTTTGAAGGAAAAGAGAAGAAAGGAAATGGAGGGATACTCTATTTTATGTTTGGCTTCAATTCGTGGAAGGAAAAGGAAGGATTTGGAGAGATATGACCCTTTAAATATTAGATTTTGGATTCTCCCGAAAGTGGGAGGAAATGGAAGGAAAGGAGAAGAATGTTTAATGAAACTTTTATAATACTGAAATCACCCTTAAACTGATGAAGAAGAAAAATCAAATTATATCTCAATCGTAGGCATTCTTTTACCCAAAGACAATATATTTTTACCTTTTTTTTTCCAGGGTAAAGTAGAAAGTTTTATGATATAAACAACAACGTACAAAGAAACAAATCAAGGGCATATCCTTGAAATCCCAACAAAACATGTAAGAAGGATCACTGACCCAAAAGAAAGCACAAAGCCAACAACTACTAGCAGGGACATGTGTACCCTTACTCTACATCATGAACTGGCATACTACCTAACTCAAGCACTTCCCACCAAACAAATTTTAGCAACCTCAACTGGAGCTCTGGACTGATTTTGGTGAAGTCTTGTGTTCCTCTCACACCAAATTTTCATATGACTGGCAAATATCATCTTCTGTGGTTTGTGTCTAATATTTTTTAAGACAAAACATTGCACAAGTTGAGTAAGAGAATGACATTGCTGCAGGTTCCAATCAAGGAGCTCAGAAAACCAATTCCAGATGGAAGCTGCCAATGGACAAGTAACAAATAAGTGGTCTAGATCATCACAACTAGACCAACAATTATGAAAAACAGATGTAATCTGCAGCCCTCTTAGTCTCAAATTCTCCAATGACAACAGTCTGTTTTGAATAGCCAAACAATGGGTACATCCACTCCAACAAACCACTGGTTGTCTAGCTCTGCAATGCTCCCAAGTGCTTTTAAAAGTGGAACTGCCATGCTGCCAAACAATAGAATCATTCCCAGAATGTAATGTGACTAAAAGAGGAAATTTTATAAACTGAATAACTCTTGAAGAAGAAACTGTGGGCAATTTCCACTGTCCATTGTGAATAAAACCAGCAGCAGTCACATATTTAGTAAATCCCAGTTACTCTGTAAAACCTGTGACCAAATCCATCCAGAGTAGACTATCGTTGACACCAAGGTCAGTAAATAAAGGAACTGAACTGTCACATCCTATCTGAAACATACTATTCTTAAGCATAACACCCTTACTTCAAGCATATTTCTCCAGATAACAGAATGTGAACGTTTAGGTTGACAAAAAATATATATATATATAGAATATATTTTTACTCAAAAAAAACTCTAATGAGTTATGACTCTTTTTTTTTTTTGCACAATATTCAAGGTATTGGATTCCCTTCCCTCTTTCGAAGTATTAAGGTTTGGATTAATGCAGCTTGAGGTTTGGATTTATGGCTCCTTGAAATAGTAAAGATTGTTGGGGTAGATATCTGCTGTGATGTATATGCTTAACTTGTGGTTTCTTTTTCTACTCTACCACCTTATTATTCATTTGTGTTTTTTTAACCGCAGACATATTAAATGAATCAATGGGTTGAGCTTTACTCTATTTGTTCTTGTCATTATGGCACTTGTTGGAATTAGACTAGTAAATTTCTCAAGTCACAATTATAATTGTTCATGGTGGTCCAAGTAATTATGTCTTATTCAGAATTAACTCTTAAAATTTTGTTTAAGATTTTATAGGATAAAAGTCTTATTTTAAGCAACATTTACTGCAGTTGCTCAGTTTTTGTGGTTCATGTTAACTGTTCAGAAAGAGTGTGACAGTTTTGTGGATTGTTTTAACCAAGGCCAAGAAGTTCCATTTATGTGTGGCTCATGCTATGTATACCTAGTAGAGTTTAGCCTTTGTAGTGCTATATGTTGAATTTAGTTCATCTCTTGATGATTTACCAGATTCGTGAAGGACGGAAGCAAACACTGGCTGAATGCCTGAAAAAAGAATTTAGACTAACAATCAATACACTACGAATGACAATATCGGGTGATGTCTATGAGGTAATTATCAAATTTATCAGTACCAATACTAGATAATTCAACTTTGAAAAAACAAATTGCTTTTTCCCGCCTCCCGAATGAACATTTCTATTTTCCTGACAAATAGGGTATCAGAGCTCTTACTATTGACAAAGATAATGCTCCAAAGGTATGCTCTGTCTCTGTAAAATTTTCCAATGTTTGGGCCATGAATTTTCCCCTTGGTAAGAAACTCACACGGCATGTGTCCATATGGGCGCTTGAAACCTAATCTCTCACTTTGTAAAATGAATTCAATCATTATGTTTTGGAATTTTTGTAACAACATAGGATAGAACATGTAGAACTTAAATATTACATTACTATCTTTGAAGTTGGTCTCAAAATTAAATTAACTCTGTTTGTTTGACGTAAAACATTTTTTGATTCACCACTAGAGCTAAACCCTTGGGGTTTATATGCCCCTATTCTTGCACCAGTATTTGTATTTCATTTTTCATGTGTAAACCAAACACCAAAAAATGGAAGGAAAAGAAAATATTTTACGTCGAATCAAAAGTATCAAACGGAGCCTAAAATGAGTTGGCCAAAAATTTGGCAATTTAATTTTTTGCACTCTATAAAATCATGTTATTGCAGTGGGATCCATCTTCTCTGGACAAAGTGGACAGTGATAAAGTTGACCTCGTCTTCCAGCCATTTGAACAAGGCATGGAGGAGCTCCAGATTCCAGGAAAGGAAGAATGCCGGTTAGTTTTGACGTCGAAGTTCTTAATTTATATATCCTTATTATGTTAACTTTCCTATGATTGAACTAATTACATACTCGTAAATGTTGTTTTTTTTTATAAGTAATGATAAGATGGTTATTATACATACTCGTAAATGTTGTTACCATGCAAAGTAATAGTAATTCCTACTTGCTAGCTAAACTTACAAACCAATCTACTACGTACAGATGGGATGGAAAATATGAGAATTCAGTTTGGAAGATGGTGGACGAACCAAATTAGTTTTCCTCACAGCAGCTTCCAATTTCGATGTTCCATTGCTAAGTTTGTGCATTTCTCTGGGCTTTTATTTGTGTCTTTATCTGTTTGAAGCATTCTGTTGTAATAATAATGACTTTAGTTACAATTATATATATATGCTTAATTTCTCAGTGTATATGACAAAACAAACACTTAATTGTGAAGGATGATTGAGATCGATATTCGAGTATTTTCAATGAAAAAAGAAAAAGATAAAAAGAGAGTACAACATTCTAACAATGGTATTCATAATAGGTACAATCAATGGACATGAAACACTAGTGGACGTTGTGAGCCTACTTTTGTAATTATATTATGAATAAAATGAAGATAAAATAATTAATCAAATATTTACTTACCAAAAAAAATGAAGACAAATAATGAATTTAACCATTGTAATAATTATTTTTTTCGATAACAAGAAGATTTAAATTCTTAATTGAAATTTGAGATTTAATATTATTGTGACAACCATTAGCTTAATATACAAAATGATATCTAAGTGATTGAAATAGGATAATATAAGATTTGTTTAATATATACGTAATATTTTTAATATAAAATAAATTATATAATTTAATGGCCAATTTTCAATCCTAACTCTCACCCTAAAATCATTTAACCGCTCCTAAAAACGAATTTTATAAAATTCGATCATGAGACTTCTAGATTCTAACAGGGAGTGGCCTAATAAAATATTTGTAAGCATGAGCTTAGTACGTATATTTCATATGATTACTTATGTATGGCTGGCTTCCATTATGGAGATTAAACTTTATAAATTATCTTTAAGACTAGATGAGTACAATAACACATTATGGACATTTGATTAATATGATCCACACACAGAATGTCTCCACAAATGGATAAACTAGTTTTATTAGATTCCAGTTAATTAATTAATTAATTATTATTTTTATTTTATTTTTTTTAAATCCGAAAATTCGAGTGATTTGTATAAATGAAAAAAAAAAAAAAAAAAATTGTAAATCTATTATTTTTATATGATCTTAAAAATTAAACAATCCAATATCTAGCAGACGAATCATTTAAGGTGGTTGTAAGGATGGTGATCTACTAGATACAGGCATGCATGCAAAGAAGGACTGGGATGCCAATTTTTTTTTTTTTGTGACAAAAAATTTTTATATTGCTAATGCAACAATTACGTTAGATTGCTTATGCACTTACTATGTTGTGAATGAAGAACTAATTCATGCAAATGAAGGTTGTAAAAAAGAAAGAATGCGTGGTGTCATGTGTAGAAAATGAGGAGAAACTTTGGAACTTTGTATATTTAAGAGGTAAAATACAGCAACGTACAAGACATCCTGAAGTTTGGATTAATAACATCATCTGTGTGTAGGAGATATGGGCTCAGAGTGAGAGAGAAACATTAGGCATGGGACAAAACTTGTACTTGATCACCTTGCTCTTAATTTCCCAAGTTCAAATCTCACATTAAACATCAGTACTAAAGTTGATAGATCTTAGAAAAAAAATACTAGAGTAATAATTTAATGAAGGCAAAGTGAAAGTGAGATAAAAGAAGAAGTTTCAGGTTGATGATGTCTTGTCTTTCTTCCCAGCAAGAATCATGGAGATCTGGAGACCTCTACTGAACGCCTGATTAAAGAGAAGTCGAGTTTGGAATTCCGATACAAATGGGAACCAGGACAGTATGACTATTGGCATAAATATTATTAGTCCCATTATATATTCGTATGCTCTTCCCAGCTCCATTATTGAATCCCAGAATCCAAATCCAATGCCCTTCAGACACGGCCTGCATGCTTGACCAATCTTGGAAGTACAAGAAAAAAAAAGGAAAAATAAATAATAACGTCGGTCAGTAGACATAATAAAAATACATCCAACAAAAAATTAAAAAAAATTAAAAAATTTATTTGCAAAATGGCACATGGCTTTTCAGACAACTGTCTGTAGCTTAGTGACTCAGTTAGTCAGTCAGTCAGTATAGTCCCAATTATATTATCCTGCTATTGATAGGTAAAGAAGCATGCATTAACAAACATTTCAGGAGGAACATTATTTATTATGATTTCGCTAAAGGAAAATAAATCAGTTTCAATTTCTACCACTAAAGCACCGCACAGCTTTAACAGAAAGGGACTTTTGTGATTACTGATCATTAAGTAATTGATTAAAATAATTGCAAACTGCGGTCCATTGGCTATATAATGCACGCTAAAATTGGGTTAATGAATGAAACCTTTGGCTAGAGATTCAGGATATTTTCACAAAGGTCAGATAGTTTTGAAACAGCGGTGTTAGGTGGTCCATATGGTAAGATTTCTTAAAGATTAATGTGTGCTCACTCATAGGATGGATATGCACAAGTTTCAACTTACTAGAAGAATAGTCCACCCTGTGGGCATGAAGGCAAGGACCGCAGCAAATAAATCGCTTATTGAAAGCCCACACACTTCAAATAAGACAGTCATGACTGATATAAAGCCAAGGAACAAAAGAGCTTTCAGAATCCTGAACATGAGCTGAAAGTCGGTGCCAAATCTTCGTCTACCCATGGATACCATCTGGTACAGACAAGGTACACATACAAGCAGTGTAAGAGCAATCAAAGATTAATCATGGTACATAGAAAGTGTAAGATCTCCTTCGCTAGATGTGGCTTAATGGTACCGTCATCGTGTGTGCACATGTACATTAACACTAGGAAAGTTAAAATATAATTGTATAGTGAGTAATACAAAAGGGACAAAATGTCAACTAAGCTACTTAGAAGTGCATTCATTTTGCATTTGGGGGTTCAATATGCATACCTTCAAGACCAAAAGAACAGTTGCCATAACAAACCATGAAAGTCCATAAACCTACAAAGAAATTATTTTTACAGTTATAGGGATTGCAACGTGGGGACTGACATAGAAAATCAAGAGAAGAAATGAAGGAAATAAATCATACCAGCAAACTCCTGCTGTTTTGAGCTATATCAAGGTGATAGACAATTCCATATTGGTAAATGAAGAAGCGACATGCGAGGATGATCTCCAGGACTCTACCCCTTATATTTGTGTTTTTCAGGTGTTCTTGTTCTCCATCCCACCAGGACTCCCAACTTTTATCCGGTGAAATACCGATACCACCACGGTTTCCCATCCACCTTTTCCAGTCTGTCCAATCATCCACTGTTTTCTGCCACTCAAACCCAGATGGATTGAACACAAAAGGAGCGAATAACCAGGAAGCAACCAGGAACCACATGGAGAAAGTAATGAACAAATACAGATTTGAACTGCGATATGATTCCCCATAAACTTCATAAATAACCAACAGCATAACCAGCTCCAACCCTTTCACAAAATGACTTCGTGAGTACATCCTGTAGTTGTCAGCAAACTTTGCATGGAAAACAACAAATCCACGACCAGTAGCTCGGTATTTAGAACCTCCATGCAAAATAGTTCTACCATAATAATGTGCTTTTGTTCCAAGCTGGAATGTAAAGAATACAGAGGCCAGCTGCAGCTGCATAATTATAAAATCACCCAGGGCAGTGCGGAATCCTCTTTCCAGGCCAATTTCCATAACCATAGGCAGCACCAGCAACAAGCCCAGCTGAAAGACAGACTGGGTAGCCAAAGCCTCTTCAAGGGCCTTGCTCTGACGAATGGTTTGATCCTCTAGAATTCGCCTCTCCATCCCACTCAAAACCATATATGAACGTCCATATAAAAACACATATACAATCAGCACAGTAACCTGGAAACACAGGATTCCCAATCAAGCTTAACTCAACTCAACAAAGCCTTCTCCCAACTATTTAGGATCGCAGACATGATTCACGTTTTGCAATTCCACTTTATCCAGGACTATAAAATCAGTCAAACCACATGCTACCGCATCATTTTGAAATCAAGCTCTATGTACGTGTTATCATTCCAACTAGAATGAAAATAAATTATTTGCTAAGCAAAATCATGAAATTAAGTGAAGAAACCACACTAGGTTGAGGCCTAGCGGGATCTATGTTCCTATCCTTAGGAGTTGTCCAAACGATTGAGGCCTAGCTGGGAGGGATGGTTTAATTACACAGCTAACTTTCGGAATGATTAGCACAATGTGTTTTCATTATACTTGAACCTGCGTCCTCACCTTGGCAACCTGGGACTTCACTATTACACACAAAAGCTAGATGTATTAGTTATCTTGTTTGTTGTATTGTTTAACATTGGAACAAAATCCTAACAGCAACACCCAAACATTAGGCAGACTATACTGTTGAATTATGTCTCAAATTCCTATTATAATTTGGTTTCTATTTTAGAGTATATTTTTAGGCATTTTCTTGGTTGCCATGTCTTGGCCTTTAAGGAATTTCTCGTCTTGGGCTAAGGAATTTCTTATTTTAGGTTCTAAGGAATTTCTTGTTAGGCAAGTCTTGGGCTCTAAGGAAACGAAATCCTTGGCCTCTAAGGATTTGGGTTTGAAACTCTATAAATAGAGGTGGATTTGAGTGGAGAAGGTAGAGAAGAAAAAAAAATGGAGTGAGCGAGCGAGCGAGAAGAGAAGAGAGTGGGTGAGAGTAGAGAGATGCAAATAAATGGGTGGGCATTCTCTACAGTTGTATATTTTCTTTTTAATTCATTATAGTGAAATTTCTTCTCTTCGTGGACGTAGGTCGAGTTTGGCCGAACCACAAAGGGTATAATTCCCAACACATAAATTAATATCTCACCTTGAAACAAAGGATTTCATACTGAGAATCTCCTATGCTACCTCTCTCTCGTGGGCAGGGAGAGGTGGGATGGGTCTGGTTAGGAGGAAATGAAAACTCTAAAAATATTTAGGTTCATGTAATATGTAAATTCACAGTTACAGTTGTTATAAGGAGCCCTAGCAGATTGCAGAGAATAAGGAGCAAAAACAAATTAAAATATAATCTGAGCTTGTATCTTGTATTGGTTAGTTGAATCAATATAATCTGAACTTGCTTCCCAAAAATAAAAATAATTAAATTAAATTTTAGGGTCACGGAATCATTTTTTTTTTTTTATAGTTAAAATGTCATGGAATCATTGTACTGATGTGAACACCATATTCTCCACCCCGACCATATCATTCAACATTTTTATGTTTTATTGTATATCTTAGATGGTAGTTATCACTTCAAAAGTGGAAGTTTGAACTCCCACTACCCACTCCATCGGATCCCTCATGAGGAAGGTTTCTATCACATGCTTAGACTTGGAAAGCAACTGCAGACCATTACCACAAGCGAAATCATTGCCAAAATTTTCATGGGCAGCCCAGTCACATTTATCCATCAAAGACAAGAAATTATTTGAGTAATCAAGACAATATGTAAATAATTATGAGTTGATGCAAGGAAATTAGCTTGATAAGCGTACCATGCTACTAAAGTAGAAACCAACTGTTGTAAAGTAGAATGACAACATTCTGTAGAAATCAAACCGGCGTCCAAGCCGATAAACATCACGGCTAAGTGTCTGCTCTCCATTCCCATTAGCTACCTTAGCCTCAAAAAGAGATATCTGATTCATCCCCACATCACGCCCCTTGCCTACTTGGACATATTCATGGTGTGTAACATAACCCCCACGCAGAGTTGAATTAAAACCTGAAGAGATTCACCCAATTAACCACCAAATAGTACTTATTGTCAGTCATCTATTGAAGAAACAAAAGTTTACCTGAGAATATGTCCTCGCTCAAGTTAATAATTTTTGAAGCTTTGCTTAAGCCGCCCCTTGTTAAGTGAAAGATTCTGTCAAATATATCAGGATGACCATAATGAAAGCGCACCCTGTGCAATAAATATGGAACATTAATTAGAAATTTACATGGTAATGGCATACAAATTTCAGCGTACATCAAATCAAATTAAACCACATTATTACCACATTGAACAATGGCTGACTACTTTGACATTCAAATTAAGATGAGAACATATAAAGGATTTTCATCAACAATAAAATATCAGGAAACATAAAGAAACAACAGTACAAGTCAATCTTTACATGGTCAATTCATAGAGAATGTAGTTATAATAGAAATATTGTTGGACTTATTAAATAGATATGTTTCTGATTTTATTATGAAGTTTATGGCATCTCTCAACCCCAAATTTTCCTTGAAGTTATAAGTCCCCATTCCCCAGCAACATGCTAGTTCTATATTATACACTTGGACTTATTAAATAGATATGTTTCTGATTTTATTACGAGGTTTATTGCATCTCTCAACCCCAAATTTTCCTTGAAGTTATAAGCCCCCATTCCCCAGCAACATGTTAGTTCTATATTATACACTTGGAAACAACAACAGTGAAGCATGAATATTGCAAAAGTTTCTATAAGTAGGGCATTCAAACATACACTAGGTAACTGAGTTACATGGAGTTTTTAGTAGCATTTATAGATGAGCTATTTGTATTGAGATATTCCTTGATATAGCTACCACTCAGGCAGCCAGGCCTGCAAAAACAGTGAAGCGTGACTATCGCAAAAGTTGGCAGTAGGTCATTAGAACATCTCCATGGAAATTGAATTATATTTGCCTTCTTTTAACATTTAGATAAGCTATCTGTTATTGATAAATCGTAGGACTGGAACCTGCGGCACTGATAGAGAGTCACGCAAGGCCCAACTAGAGGGGAAGGGGTGAAAAGGTCTTTGTAAATTTTTTGAGACCCTAATTGTCTATAATTGATTTTGGAATTCAATTTTAATTTTGCCTAATATTTGTTTGAATTCTTTGATTCTATGTGTTTGTTTGTTGTATCAAATTGATTATTCAAATATAAGAAGATAATCAAAGCAATAAGAGCAAAGTAAAACAATCACACCTCTACATCAAATTTACGTGGAAAACCTCAATGGCGAAAAACCACGAGGATAGCATCCCGACGCAGACCAATCCACTACGAATAAAGAGAGTACAACCTCAAGGTCTCAGATTCTTACCCCTAAGAATCACATTTTTTTTTCTTTTTCCGGAAAGTAAAAATAAATTTACTGATAAGAATCACCTAAATTGATTTACCTCTATCTAGTCTAACGCTGGACATTCCCTCAAGTTCGGCTGCTGTCCAATCAATGAACCTGCTCCTCACACGATTCGCTCTTCCACTTAATGTTTGTTTTCTGTCCAGCCACGCCTCGTCCCAACCACCAATTATAGTTTAATACTTTAATGAACAACTTTGGGAACCGCCAATTCATTATTCTCCAGATGTAAATCTCCTTTGGTTCTTAGGAATAACAATAAATCACACTCCCACCAAGATGATCTTTCAAAGTGTGTGCGATTAACAAAAATAATGATGTATTAAAGATATCTATGTAATAATCTGCACCAAAATTTATTTTATGTATTTTCTCTTATGTTTTTCAAAGACCTAGTAATGCATATATAGATTTTTGAAAGAGTAGTCCACAAGAGATTAGGAAAAAGAGAATTCATGTGGCCGATCCCATCTCTATGGGATAACGGCAAGGATGATGTTGAGTCCACAAGAAATAGGTTTATATATAGATTTAGAAGTCAAATTGAATAAGAAAACTAAGTTCCAGTTGCCAGGAATAGATCCCTTGTTCAGGGGGATCAATCGCACTAGGGGCGCCTGGTAAAGGTGCCCACATGGGGTGGCTAAGACAGGTGTTCCCAAGGGTGCCTGAAAAATGGCGCCCATGAGGGATGCCTAGAAAGGGGAACCTAACCATTGGGTGTGAGGCACCCTTTGACTCGCAGGGTAATTCATTCAAAATCTGTTGCAGGCTTGGCAAAATGCCTGAGGTATCAGGGAGACCTTAGGAAGATCCCTTGATAGGGTATAGTTAGGACTGTGAATTAAGAAGTATCAGGTACTGATTTAGCTCATTATAAAGGTGCGAGGATCGTACTGCAGTCCGGGGGCAATGATTACCAAGAAACACAATAGAGGTGCGTCACTCCAGGAGGATGCTTGTCTGGGTATGGTAACTGTCGTGAATACAACTAATAGTCAACTATTCCTTAATTAGGGGCATAGTTACTGCTTTCCTAATATTGTTGCTTTCCGTATTTTATGTTCTTGAGAACATTATATATTCCGATTGTAATCATCCTTTGATATATGAAATAAATAGACAATTCTTCTCTCTCTGAGATTTAGCTTACACTTTTGACATGGTATCAGAGCATCAAGGCTGCAGTGCCTCGCAAGTACAGCGATATCCATTTCATAGCCAGTCAATAGACCTTCCCAGGTCTATCCAAAATACCTTTACAATAGAAATGGAAGTATGGAACTGGGTATGGTAACTGTCATGAATACAACTAATAGTCAACTATTCCTTAATTAGGGGCATAGTTACTGCTTTCCACATATTGTTGCTTTCCGTATTTTATGTTCTTGAAAACATTATATATTCTGATTGTAATCATCCTTTGATATATGAAATAAATAGACAATTCTTCTCTCTCTGAGATTTAGCTTACACTTTTGACATGGTATCAGAGCATCAAGGCTGCAGGGCCTCGCAAGTACAGCAATATCCATTTCATAGCCAGTCAATAGACCTTCCCAGGTCTATCCAAAGTACCTTTCCAATATAAATGGAAGTATGGAACATGTGTGTATGTTTTCCATTTTCTGTGAAGGCTAGGGATTATAAAGCTTGGGATAGAAACGTCAAGGTCAGGCTTGTGGTCGAATAAGAAGCACCTGCAACCCTCCAAAAAGGTATGGAAAAATTCTTGATGACTAGCCCACTCCTTGGTCACAATCAAACTGAGGAGAAAAAAAATATGGATTGTAAGAAATGGATGAAAAGTCCTGCTCCATCATGATAGGAAGGGAATTGTAACAGTTCACTCCACCACATGGTATCATACTGCCCACTTTGGGCCCGAGCCTACATGGTTTTGTTCTTGGGTTTTACCGTTCTGGCCTCGTACCATTTGGAGATTAACAATCCTACATATATAGCACTTCTCGTAGCCTACCAGTGCCTCGCACCCGCCCACAAGGTTGTCACTATTCAACCCCCTAAGAGGCCCGACGTCCCCGTCGGCACACTTCCGGCTCTGTCAGGCTCTGATACCATTTGTAACAGTCCACTCCACCACATGGTATAATATTTTCCACTTTGGGCCCGAGCTTGCAAAAGGCTCCATACCATTCGGAGATTACCAATCCTACATATATAGCACCTCCCCTTTCCACATCCAGGCGATGTGGGATCATGCACCCGTAGCCTGTTAGTGCTTCGCACCAAACACACACACCTGCCCACAAGGTCGCTACAAGAACAACGTAAGACCGTGACCGAAATCAAGAAAATGTTAAACCCAAAATTAATGTGAAGATTAACTATTTTGTTACTGTAAGAGAAGGTGGAAAATTGAATCCCATAAATTTTTATTGTATGAGGGGCGAAAACCAATGTTTACAGTGAAGTCCATGAGGTCGCGAAGGTTTGTGGTGGCGCTCACTCTAGATCAACGAATGTCCTGTGACTGCCATGTCAAAGATATGAGGTCACAGGACATATGCAAGAAAACGCTCGAAGGGAAACAACATAAAAAAGTACATAACCATAGCTGCTGAAGTTGTATCAACCACACGAACGGACAATGTCTTCCTTTATCAAGTCATGGAGAGAAAAGGGTGCCCTGAAACATTGAAGCTAAAGGAAGACGCTGACCGTGTCCAATACTGATGGGAGAGATCGCGGCTCTATGGCCGCTTTTCCTTAAGCCTCATATGCCCCCCTAAAGGGCACGTCACGAGGCAAGTGGCCAACAAAGCAAAGAAGCATTCCCTCCACGGTCCTTCCTTTCATCCGCCTTTGTCTATTCGTTCCATCCGCTGTTCTAGATCCTGTTGCGAGTGCTGAAAAAAGGGTTCCCTAAAAACAATTTTGACCAATTTTTCTCTTGCGGGTCATGGACCCCGTTTTAGAATTATAATGTAGTCCAGTATACAAGGGTGTTTAAGGCTTGGGGTGTGTCATGAGAGAACACTGAAAAACTGTAGGAAAGAGAGTGAGAGAGAGAGAGCTAGGGTTAGGGGGGCTTAAACTTGTAACCTCCTCATTTGCACATCGTGAAATCTTTCGCCGAATCTTTACCGTGGATGTAGGCTTACACCAAACCATGTAAATCTTTGTGTTCATTGTGTGTGGCTTGTTTACTATTCTGTCGTGATTTTTGATTTGTTCATAGTTCGTGGCATTTGTCGTAACAAAACCCACAGCTAGACCTAACCATTTTATTCTACCTACAAAAATCCCGTTTGACATAATCCACTTAATTTCCTAAAAAATTCAACCCTGAAACCCCAAAAGAAACATAATACTTTTGTTAATGTTTCTTGGCACTATTTACAACATTACCCACCAATTTGTTTATCCTTGCCCACTTATAACCCCAGACGTTACCACTTTTCTACACCATTCCAAACCCTAAGCCTTCATAAATTTCAATGCTATTTAGCGAGATGGAAACTAATAGCAGTTGGCCACTAAAACCATCCTTAGTGTTTCCCTATATTTAAGGTTATCAGCCAAATCAGAGATTGGCAATCTAGAAATCTGTCTCAAAAATTGTAAGTTATCACATTTATATGACAGCTAGAGATATTTTTTTGTCTGATGGATCAAGTCACATTTTTGTAATGTTTTCTTTCTGCAGTAATTTCAATTTGCTTTCGGTATACTACCATGATTTATAGAAATAATCATATACATATTTCAAGCTTTGCGAGGAAACATATCCTTCTATAACATCAAGGATTTATAGAGAATACAAAAGCTTAGTATC